CATAACAGTGAAAGGAGATGTTGTATTTTCTAAAAATTAATCCCAACAGCAACATGTACAAAGAGAAGAGAGCATGATGTTGTTAGAAAGCCCACCACCACGTGCTTTGGAGTAGGAACAATGTTTCATTTTCCTTTTTGTGCATTGCACAACACTAGAGGTCACACAGGCTTGTTGTAGAGCACACATTGTGCTATCATCAGAAATCATGTTAGCTGCTTTGTTTATGTGTTTGTGTCCTGCAGGCAGTCAAGTTTGAGCCCTACCATGACAGCGCTCTAGTCAGGTTCCTGCTGAAGAGAGCTCTGAGGGTAAGCAGACATGTGTCTGCCTGTTTTATGTCATTTCAGCTCTGTGTGTGTGTTTTACTAGCACGATAACTGCAGTCAAAAATGTTAAGTTAAACAACACCTTTTGTTTTTCTTTTGCAGAGTAAGCGTATCGGTCATTTTCTCTTCTGGTTCCTGCGGAGTGAAATCGCTCAGTCCAAGCACTACCAGCAGAGGTACGCTGTCCTCCTGGAGGCCTACCTCAGAGGCTGTGGTGAAAATATGCTGCAGGACTTCCGGAAGCAGGTGACACGCTCTATTTATAGGTGTTTCCACAATTGTATAGTACTGTGAAAATGTGATACGCATGGTCTGAAGGGCAGGCTGTGAAGACGCCTTTCTTAAAGAAGGGAAAATTAGGGGTAACCATCGATAACTTTGACAGCAAATTTAAATGTAGTTTTAGTCATAATTAGAGTAACACGGTTTTCAAAGGTTTTTAATTTTCCTTGATGTCACATGTGAAATGTTTCCATATGTCTGCTCATCTCTTCCTCCCAAGCGTTGAGATTTTGTGACGTTTTCATGAGACACAGTGTGAACCAGCTGTACTGATCCTGGGGGCACATCAAATGAGCCTCACTGCACATGGTGATTACTTCTGATTGGATCACTTCCAAACTTGTCCCGCCTTTCTAGACAACTTAATAGTTCTGATTGGAATTTTCCGTTCAGAATTTTTTCATCTCGTTTTTATTCGCTAGTTTCTGTCCTCGTGCATTCACTTTTATTTAGTTATCATTTTTCTTTTCATCAGAGAAAAAGAAGTCATTGATGAAAATTGTGACAAAAAATTGTTGGTCAGCAAAATCAACACTGGTGGCAGCATGTCTTACGGAGTCCAAATTTGGGATAATCTTTACAGAGAAGGGAACAAAGAGCAGCTGACCAAAGAAGAGCTTTGCCGAAGACTTCTTAATGAAATGACGAGAAAGCTGCCTAGAAAGGTGTTTGGGGGGTTGGGTTTGAACACATCTTTGACAGAAAGTCCTGATGCTTGCAGGTGGATATGACAGAGGCTCTGCAGAAAGTCACCCGTGAGATCAAGACCATGTCTGCAGACAAGTATGATGTTACGCCACAAGGTGAGGAGCAGAAACAGAAGCACTGATATGAGCCTATATCGTGTAGCATGAACGTGCATTATTTGCTTATTTTTTAAAGTAATTTAGTGGTACTCCTTCGTGCTTTGTGCTTCGAGCTTGTAGTTCAAACCTGCCGGCCTTTCTGTGTGGAGTTTGCACGTGCTCAGAGCACTCTGGTTTCCCCCTACAGTCCAAAGACATGCCCGTTAGGTTAACTGGTGACAGTAAACTCAGTTAGGCATGAATGGTTGTCTCTCTGTGTTAGCCCAGGGTGTAAGCTCAGCTCTTGTCTTATGACAGCTGGAATAGGCTCCAGTGCCCTTGCAAACCCCAAAGTAAATATGTGGAAGAAGATGGATGGTTTCAGTTTTAAATACAAACCCTCCAAGGCTTTGGTCCTGCTTATACAGTGAAACTGCTGACTTTTTCTTCCACACTGGTTTTATTTATTCTGTTATCAACAGAATATCACACTTTTGAGGTTTGCACCCCAAACTTTTGCTTTAAACGTCTACGGTTACCTTTCTTTGCTAAATATTCTTCACTAGTTTATTCTGGGTTGTACTTTCTGTGGTTAACACCAGCATTTGTATCTAAGCGTGTGTAAAGCATGTCTGTTGTATGAATACATGGTTGCATGTATGTACTGTACGGTCAGATGTGTCAATATTACTCTGACTATTCCAAACCTTCTAATTTGCACTAAGACTTGAAAAGACGTGTAAAGAAAGAAGTGTGTGTTTTTCAGTGGTGTTTCAGTTGCGTCAGAAGCTGGAGAATCTGCAGTCCTCTGGTCTGCCAGAGAGCTTCAGAGTTCCTTATGATCCAGGACTAAGAGCTGGAGCCCTGCTGGTGAGGAGCAAACACATCAACACGGCCCTGCAACAAACACTGAAATCAGAACAACTTTCAGCTCTCATAAGGGCTTATTTCTGGGCAGAGACGTCAGATTTGTATCTATAAATGACTGAATTTATTGATGAAAACAATTTATCTTTATGTAGATTGAGCAGTGCAAAGTGATGGCGTCTAAGAAGAAGCCGCTGTGGCTGCAGTTCAAACGGGCCGACTCCACCACTCTCTCCAAAGACCCCATAGGCATCATCTTCAAAGACGGTGATGATCTCAGACAGGATATGCTCATCCTGCAGGTGTGTAGCAGCTCAGCCTCAGACAGGACTGAGACAGTCATGAGAAGAAAAGTTCTGTAGCACTCCGTCTGTCTTCTTTGCAGATTCTGCTGATCATGGAGTCGATCTGGGAGACCGAATCGCTGGATCTCTGTCTTTTACCGTACGGCTGCATCTCCACTGGAAATAAGATAGGTCGGTCATTCCCTGCAGAGACACAGAAAACATATTAGATCCTGTGTCCCTCATTTATAACAACCAAGGCTGATCATGTGAGCCTCACAAATCCAAAATAGTGTGTCATCGCTCTTTATTGCATCACTGTAGGCATGATTGAGATTGTTAAGGACGCCACCACCATCGCCAACATCCAGCAGAGTGTTGTGGGAAGCACCGGCGCATTTAAAGATGAAATCCTCTACCAGTGGCTCCGGGACAAGTGTGTCAGTGAGGACAAGGTACGTACTGTACCACTGACAGCTTATGCTGGTTTTACGCTTGAGCGGGGGTTGCACGAAGACAGTCTGCGGGCAGTCGTGGACAGCCTGTCTACCTACAGAGAGTGTTTGTTGTCAGATGGGGTCAGTGTCAAAAATATGCAGTACAACCGGTCTGCGGGCTGCACTTGTTTGTCCTGTGGTCAATCAGCTGCGGTGAAGAGCGAAGTCCTAACACGCAAAGAGCTGAAGGGAAACCAAGTGCTAAACAATGAAGTTTCCACTGCTGTCAGTGTGCTTTTCATGCTGTATTTTCCATCTTTGATGATTTTTCATGCTGCTCGCATTCCTCGTCAGTCAGCAGTCAACTGGCGCTCAGTGATGTGCAGCTGGGATTTTTTAAAACAATTTATTGCTTAAAAAAATCACACGGATGATGTAGAAGTCTCAAATAAAAAAACGGCATTACAAAGCTGTCATCTAGTTTTTTTTGATCCATTACATAATTGCATTGGGGAATGGTGATAGACGTGGGGGTGGACTTTTTTATGCCCTACTTCCATTTTCGCAAAGCAATCCAGCTGACCGGATCGAAGTCTTTGTCAGGCC